CTACGGGAGAGGTATTGGTTTAAGGAATTTAATTGATTTTGAAGGAATTAGACTTTCTAGAGAATTCCATTGTTATTCAATCGATTAGAATCTTAATTCTTTTAAATTCATGTGTTATTCAATTGATTAGAATTTTAATTCTTTTAAATTCATGTGTTATTCAATTTTTTGTAACTTTTATTCTTTAAGATTTCCAAAAGAATTTAATAAAATTTTAAGAAAAAAATGTGAAGGGACAATTCTTACCCTTTTAGCGCAGATTTTGATGAAAATTTAATAATTCCTTTATAATACTCTAAAATCAGTTTTCCTACAATCACTCATCCAATACCTTCCCCTAAATGTAATTTAGCTAGAATTAGAAAAATCTAACTGAATATCAAATAATATAAGAAATAAATATGAGAATAAAATAGATAAAAGTAGTTTTGTACTGACATTCTCAATTTTATTTTATCGCTTTATGGGGGTGACCTAATTTTTTTCTTCCGTTTTTTCATGTTTGATTGTTTTACGGAAGTTATAAAATATTTAGAGAGTAAAAATAGTTCAAATACAAATACGAGAAGACCCTTGGATCTCGTTGGTTGAAGAAATCCAACCTTTCGGACCTGTTAGAGAGGAAGAGACCAATATGAGAGTGGCAGAGCTACTGGACAACAACTCTCTGGATTGGAATATTGAAAAAATCAATGGTACCAGAGCTGACACAACAAATCTTGTGTCTAAAACTAAGTGAAACAGGGGCTGAAGATTGCTAGGTTTGGATCCCTAATAAGTCGAGAGTGTACTCTGCAAAACCATGTTATCATATAACCAAAGCAAGAGAGACACAAGAACATGACTAGCTACAAAGATTTCAAAGGCCGTTTGATTCCCTACATATACAAGATTTCAAATCTGGTATTCTAAGTGGGAGAAAGCTAGAGTGCCTACCTCCAGTTGGAATCTGTGACTGACCGCTTTTCCCATGTGTGTGCTAGTCTTTGTGGTTTGCTCGAAACAAACTGATTTTTTAGAATAGAAGACTTGCAAAACAAGAAACAATCACAAAAGCTATTGCAGATGCCGCGAATGGTATTTAGCACAACGAGAGGGGCCACAGGAACACATATCAAATCAAGAGGCCATGACTTTGCAGGATCCACCAAAAAGACTCATTCTTTGCTTTACAGATGGAGGCTGGTCGGAGGACAAACGGGTAGCAGGACTAGGCTAGATTTTCCAAAAGCCTAACTAGAGCATTTCAACCTACACTACCATTGACCAAAGGTCCTAAGCGGAAACCTTTGTCGCCTCTCCAATAATGACTGAAGCGTTGGCAATGCGTCTTGCTCTTATCAAAGCAAAGGGCAAAGAGATTACGAAATCAGAGTGCGGTTAGACTCGTTGACGTTCATTGGAACAGTTAACTCACATAACCAAGTCAAAGAAATCGCCGGAATTCTTCAAGATATAGAAAACCTTATTCCTATCTTTGTTTTCATCGACTTCCATTATGTACCTCGCGGCAAAAATACGTTGGCCGACGAACTTGCAAAACTAGCTGTAAAAAATTGGTCTATTGTAACAACGACGTGAATATGGAATGAGAAAAACTTGATGTTAAAAAAAAACGTTATACCTAGAGTAAAAAAGAAAAATAAGTGTGAGAAAAAGAAAAATGATTAAAAGAAGAAAATAACTGACAAAAACAATGAAAAAGGAGAGAATAGGAGGAAGAAGCCAAAAGATAAGAAGAGAAAAAAAGAAAAACATGATAAAAAAAAGAAAAATTAGAAGACAAAAACAAAGAAAATCGAGAAAAAGAAGAAAATGAATAAATCATATAAACAAAAAGATAAAGTCGATCAAGAATGAAAAAAAAGAGGAAGAAGAAACTTCGAGAAAACAAAAAAAAAAGGTAAAATAAAAATCAGAAGAAGAATACGAAAAAATCCAAATGGAAAAAAAACTAGAAAAGATGAAGATGGTGAAAAAAAAAAGAAGAGGAGAAGAGATGACTAACACCAAGAAAAAAAAAGATGAGAAAAAAACTAAAAAGAAAATTAAAAATACAAAATAAGGCGATCTCGACCTTGTAGAAGAACAGGAAAAAAATAAAAATTAGATTGCAAATGAAGCAAAAAGAGGAGAAAGAGAATGAAAAAAAAAAAAACCAGAAGATGAAGAAAAGTTACAAAACAAAAAATCATTAAATTTTGAAGTTTAACATTCAAAATATCAAAGACATTATCTAATGCATATTCATTTTCCACATACATATAAATTTATAATCATGTATATTTTTTTTATAAATAATAAAATAGAGTTACTAAATACTATAGCAAACTTATCTTATTACATCTTGCATGATTGCATCACACGGAGGCAAATTTGTGATAATTTTTTTCTCGAGAGCGGCGATGAAACGTATGATATTTTCTCGCATCTTCGACCATGTCGTGCCGGAAAGTTCTTGACGACCCCTCGACATAGGTTGGATGTTGCGTTTTTCGCCTTTGGTGAGCTTGTGTCCGCTTGGATCTCCCCTTCAATGATCGTGATGCGAAAAGGATAGTCATGGAAAGTTATGGTAATCTTTTTTGGAGGATTTATGGATCTGAGGATTCTCAATCACAGGGTGAAGATCACGGCCTGGATTCGATTTCATCTACGATAATCACTCAATTTATAATTAGTTCGGAGATCAATTGGGGAAATTTGACCTCGAGGAATACGGGAGTATATAGATCGATTCACTGTCGCTTTCTTTCTTGTGCTCTTATCACAAGTTTCCCTACTCTTTCTCACACAGATTGTGCCAGTTTATGTGCTCCAATCTCGGTGTCAATGGCGTTTTTGGAAAATTGGTGGTTTCGGATGAGGAGAAGAGACGATCCAAGCCCATGCAACTCCCACCGGTGGACAACTCCAGATTCTGAAGCGGTTCGAGAAAACTCTGGTTGGACGTGTACTGAACCGAGATCTCCAGGAGAACCGGGTCAAGGCTTTGATGAGCTTCTTGCTGTCGGTCTAGAAGAGTGAAGAGCGGGTTCAAGGAATTGAGATGGGAAGGAGAAAGTTCCATTTCCGTTTCAAAGAAGAGTCGGATCTGGAGGCAGTACTGTAGTATCGACCTTACCAGTTTGATGAGTGGATGATTGCAATTGAACGATGGGTGCCAACGGTGAGGATGGATTATTTGGCATCCATCCTCTTCTGGATCCGAATCATGGATCTCCCGGACATATATTTTCTTGATAAGATTGTTCATTACATTGGAGAGGATCTTGGTGAAACTATAAAGTGTGAAGTGGTTGAACCATACTCGAGGGTTCGAGTGATGGTCGGTTTTAAGTTGCCGTTGATTATTCAATGGGAAATGAGGTCGGACACGGGAGAGATCTTATGGATTAAGTATGTGAAATTGCAGAACCATTGTAAACGGTGCTTCCGAATGACTCATGACACTAAAGTCTGCCCCGAGCACGAGGTGGTTTACCATAACAATAGCAAACCGTATCGGTGGAAGGGAGAAGAGGATGAGAAGAGAAGATGATGTGACCCGAAAGATGAGGGACTTGGTCAGAACAGCAGAAAGAAGGTAGTTGGAAATCACAATGTTGGTACCAAGGTTGACTCGACTCGCCTGCAACGTCGAAGTGGAGACTGGTTACGTGTGACCTTCTACCAGAACTCGGTGAGGTCCGTGAGCCGGTTAAGGCCAAAGCGTCTACCCAAGAATGCTGGCTATCAAAACCAAGCATTGAAGCCGTTGTTTGAGAAAGCTGGCTAGCAGGTAGAAATAGGGAAGAATCCAACTGGGGGAACGTATTGCCAATTGTCGTACCTCTATTTCTCGGTGGAGAAAACAAGACCAGCTGATCTCCTCAGAGGAGATCGAGGAGCTAAAAACCCGATTGGAAGCAGCACAAAGTAGTAACTTCGCCTCTGCGGAGAAAATAACCGAGCTACAGGATCTGTTGGGAACTGCGATA